TCACCCTTTTGATCATTAGGCTAATCGTCCTCAGTATCTCACCAAAACTAAGTAGATCAGAATCAAAGAACAGACACACACATATATGCATACGCTAATAAATGTCTGATAGTTAGTTGTGTTGTGAATATGATAGCCCAATTCAAGAGTACCAAGAATCAAAATGTTAATATGATTCCTCCAGAAAACTCTTCTCTAAATACTTTCCCTAAAGGGTTTAAGATTCTTTACCACAAATAGAGAAAAGAGAAACAGAAAACAAGGTAACGAAAACAAAGGTTCTAGTCACCCTTTCATAACCCAAATGGAAAGAAATGACCTCGTGAACTTCATCTAAACCCAAAAACAACACCAGAAACACAATCAACTATACTCAAACAACAATCAATTTATTCTCAATCTGATCTCATGATGGGATCCATAATTCTCCCTAATTCCAACTTATTACAGCCTTTGCAGACTCTCTTTCCCTTCAATCAAGAAAGGAAAAGAAACAGGGATGAACATCCAAGCCACTAAAAGACTATCACATTATTGAAAAGAGATATATAATTAATTAACCACAACAATTTTCATCACTTATAACAACGACAACGACGACACTATATAATCAATCTCCCCTGCTCAATTTGTATAACAATCAAAGCCATCTCAAAGGAAAGATATAAAAGAGAAAAGAAAAAGATCAATAAACATTTAAAGGAAGAGTAAAGGTTATTAAACAAAGAGTACAAATAAATTACTCAACTCCTGCACCTCGTAATGGCGCTGCATCCACGAGTATAGGGATTGGCCTGAGCTCCAGGCTGGCAATTGTAGTAGGATGCACCGCGTCTGGAGCAAGGTACCGTGTTCCTCCGCAGAGCGCCGTAGCTGATGTACTGGCTGGTGGCCAAGATACGGCGGCTGATTTCGGAATCAAATTCGAACTCCTCTCCGCCGAAACACTCCGCTATGGAGCCCTTGCAGATCGCCTGGTTAGGAATCCATGCAACGCTGTGCTGGATCCCGAGGCTTCCGAGGACGGCGGTTGAGGAGAAGCTGAAGACCACGAACACGGTGGCGTAGATCAGGAGGAAGGTCGGAGAATTGAATCCTGCCATTGCCACGCAAGAACGATCTCTCTTTCTCTGCTCTCTGCTCTCTTCTTTCTTCTCCGTTCTCTTCAGAATTGACGGTTTCTTCAGCTCCGGGGGTCGCTCCGGCAATTCGTCGGTGGGTTCTGTTCTGCTTCTTCTACCTACCGGTGTTTCTTTAGACAGAAAAGCGAGCTGTGAGAAGCTAGTCCAAGACTTATTTAGAACGTGGTCAGAACATATACCCTTCTTTTGCTACTTAATTACGGTGATGCCATTCAGAGAGATTCTTTTTGAAAACGTAATGGACAACCACTCCCACTGAGTACCCAATCGTGGAAAAATGAATAAGTTCCAGAAACGCCGACGTTTTGAGGAAAAAAAATTATTTTTTATATTTTAGTGTAAAAAAATATATATTAAGACTACATTTTTCTTTTTTCTTTTTCATTTTTCTATCATCCTCAAAAAATAAATAAATAAAATATTAAATTTTATGTTTAATAATCTAATCCAAACGTACTTTAATGGAGAAATATGTTAATTATCGTCTTAAATGTCAATGATTCAATCTTTTATTTTTTCGTAATTATTTTTCTAAAACAACTATAATTTTTTGTTTGAACTGAAGCCGTATCTAATTGTATGATTAAATTTGTTTAAACTTTTTTATAATTAATTATAAAAATTTAAAGGCTAAATTAATAAAAAAAAATATCTCTAAATTTTGTAGTTTGTTTAGAAAATATTCATAAATTTTCAAAAGTTACTTTTAAACTTAAAAAAAAATAACTCAAAAATACAGTTTATTTCGAGGACATTTCAGGTATTAATGAAATTTAAAGGCAAAAATATTAAATTTATTTATTTATTTTTTTGCTTAATTTAGTCATATTTAAATAAAATAAATAAAAATGAGCCACAAAATGGGAAGCGAAACCCAAGCTCAATTAATGGCAACTTGGCAATCAAAACATAATTGTGAGGGCAATTCAGGTATTTCAACTTCCACTGAACACAGCAGTAGTTGACCTGCTGTCTTCCCTCTCTGGTTGGTGAGAAGAAATTTGGATTTTTTTATTTATTTAATAAATAAAAAAGTAAATAAACAAATACAACTTATTAATAATTAATTACTTTATTTTTAAAAAATATATTTGTAAAGTCCGTCAAATAATCTGTTAACGGAAACGCATTTATTCCATGCTTTTTCTTTCCGTTTCCCCTTTTCCACCAAACTCTCCACCAATTGCTCCGTTTTCTCCGTTGCCGTCGATTCTCGAACATTTTTTTAATACCAAAATTTACTTTTTATTATTCTTAATCCTTTTATCATTTTTTCCCTTAATTACTAACCTCATCCCTAATTTTTATTTAAAATATTTTTTTTTCTATTTTTTTATTATCCAAGTAAACGAATAGCTATAGCTCACGATCAAAGTATATCACCAATCGTAATGAACATCGGAATGTTACTATAAAAAATGGTTCGAAGAATTTTTATCATCGTTCTATGAACAATCCTCCACAAATCTCAGTACCACGTCACAATAAAAGGACGGTTTCTGCAATTTATTCTTTCTGAAAGATTAAAAAAAAAAAATACCCTATCATTATAAATCTCTCCTTGTAATTAGAATGAGGTATAGATGTCTACGTCGGGATCGGGACAGATCGAATCTATTTATCGTAGTTCTACCTTTTCTTATGAGATAGAAAAATAAATTTATTATTACTTAATTTCTGATATTTCATAATTTTAGAGTTTATTTATAATACATTAAACTAACTCATAAATTTCAATATATATTTATATACCAAAAAGACAAAAATACCCTTATAATTTGCATTGACTCCCTCTATAAATAGAAAAATTGGAACAATTAACTAAAACTAATTTATTAATTAAAGCATAGCTAAAAAATTAATAACAATTTTAATAAATAAATAAATAAAAGGAAGAAAATGAATGCTTTATAAGAGAATTTTCTTTGGCTCTCATCATTTAATATTCTTCTCAAATTCAAAAGATTGTCTTTAATTTGAAGGAAATGGAAATGGACAAGCCAAGAATATATTTACTTTTTTTTATATAATATTAATAAATCATTTAATAAGTCTCATTAAAGCAACTTAATTAATCTTTAAATTTTAAAATTTTAATCCTAATCTCTAAATTATATCTCTAATTAATAACTCTCGTCAACCGTCCGATAAAAGGACATGGTGAGATATGACGTTGATGACAAAAAAAGTACAAGCTAAAAAGTCCAGATAAACCAGATTCGATCAATTAAGGCACTACTTACTGTGGGTTTACACGGGTTATGTTGGGTTTTTGAGAATCTTTTGAACCAACTCGAAATTTTAAGTCGATTGGGTTCGTGACTTGAGTAATTTGAAATAAGCTCACAACCCAATCCAAACGAACCCTCTATTTTTAGAGTTAGGGTTGTGTTGGATTGTAACCTTATTTTTGGGTCAGTCAGGTTGATTGAAATAAAAAAATGTCAACTTGTTAATCAACTTGATTCAATTTTCGGAGCAAATTTAAAAGTGGGAGTTAGAGTAAAAAGCTCATGTTCTTCCAATGGGTAGGCTGCCGCATGAGTAGAGCCTAGGAAGGAGACAACTAGGCATGTGTCGAGCCGTTTAAAACATGGTTCAATCATGCACCTACATTCGAGTTCATTATTGTTAGTAGGGTAAATTACACTTTTGAGTCTTAGGGTTGGAAAATAGGTTAATTTCGTCCATAGGTTTTAAAATCGTGTAACCTTATCCTAAATTTATGTCCTCATATCTTAGAGATTCCGTGGTTTGGGTCGAAGAAGAAATGTCACTCGATCGTTATCAAGTTTATGATTGAGTTTCTCCTTCTTTTCCCACCGTCAACCACTCCTCTCTCGCAATTATCAGCGGCACCACCTGCACCACCATCACTAAGAGTATCGTAAAAAACTTTTGTTCCTTGTCATTCCAGATATGGCATGATATTTCAATTCCTTGTCAGACTTGGAATGACGAAAAGTGCTTCATTTCACGTGTTCCACGTCACCATTTGAACGAGACGGTAGAAGATGGGGGCGATAGCCGTGGTTGAAGGAGAGGGGAGAAGTTGAATAAGTTCATAAAACAAGATTGGACTTTTGAGACCTAAAGACAAAATCAACTTATTATCTAAAAAAATAACTTTGAAATAATAATTTAATATTATAAAAAAAAAATTGAGTCATCAACAGCGCATCTAGTGTAGTGGTATCATAGTACCCTCCCACGGTACTGACCGGGGTTCGATTCCCCGGATGCGCACTTTCTTTTATTTATCGCCAAGAAAACTTTTCTTTTTCTCTCTCTTTGTAATGATAATTATTTTAAATTATTGTTGCTATATATTATTATTATCATTGTTAGTATTAATTAAATGATGCTTATTAAATTTCCATAATTTTGTAATATTTATTACTTTGAAGCTATAATATGTTTAGTTTTTATTTATTTATTTCGTCTAATGTTTCTCATGTGAAAAAAATATATCCCTTAATAATAACAATTGGGTTTTACCATTTATTGACTTTTATAGAATTTCAAGATTATTAATTGGACATTAAATTTGAAAATTTAATGATATTATTATTATTATTTAAACTGAAAGTAGTTAAAATAAGATTAAAATCTTTGAAAATCATAAATTAATATTTGCATTAATCCAGAGAATTTGGCAATCCGGATAAAAAACAACAAAACCCACGAACTTCCCGATCCCCGGATTGCCAGCATGGCATAAACCTGACCGTCAGATCTCTTGACACAATATGATCCGTCCGATTGAAACACAAGGATTGGTACGTGTAACATACGCAGCCGTCCGATCGAAACACAAGGATTTGTACGTGTAGCATATCCAGCCGTCCGATTGAAACACAAGGATTGGTACGTGTAGCATATCCAGCCGTCCGATTATTTTTCGAAAAAAACAACCATCCCGCCATTACAGCCCCTTTATATTCAACCTCAAGTCCGTATTCGCGAACTTAATCGTCGGATAATATACAGTTCATCTATTGATCGTTGCAATTAATCTTCGAATTCCGGAACTTAGATTCTGAATTTTCAACCATGGAAGGAACCAAAGGCGCCGGTGGAAGAAAAGGTGGTAACAGAAGTAAGATATCGAAGTCGGCGAAGGCCGGACTGCAATTTCCTGTCGCAAGGATCGGTCGGTACCTTAAGAAAGGCCGTTATGCACAGCGCACTGGCGCCGGAGCTCCGATCTACTTGGCTGCTGTCCTCGAATATCTCGCCGCTGAGGTAGTTTATCATTTGAGATGAGATTCATCTTCATTCGCATTCCTAGAACGTAAACAGTTCTCGATTTTAAAATTTGTGTTGATCGTAATGTAGGTTTTGGAATTGGCTGGGAATGCTGCTCGTGACAACAAGAAGAACAGGATAAACCCTAGGCATGTTCTTCTGGCTGTGAGGAATGATGAGGAGCTTGGAAAATTGCTTCAAGGAGTCACCATTGCCAGTGGTGGTGTTCTTCCAAACATCCATCCAGTCCTCCTTCCCAAGAAGTCATCGTCGAATTCCACTTCTCCTGCAGAAAAGGCTCAGAAATCGCCAAAGAAGGCCTAAATTAAGTAAATGTTTCCGAGAATGATTTTTTAACTTTTCTTTTTGTGTATAAATTTAGTGCTCTCTTCTTGAATCCCTAGTTTCTTAGAAGAACTAGCTGTTTTGATCTCTAGTTTCTGTCTGATGTACGTATCCATTTCACAATATCGATTGGGAACACAATCGTTTTCAAGTGTTCTGTTCTCGTCATTTTTCTCTGTGAATATCAGTTCTCTTTGTAATGTACATCAAAAGTCAGAATCAAATTCTCCGTATGTCATTATCATAGATTGCATGTTCAAAGATTATCATCATAGAGTCCACTCTTCGGTTTACTGACTATGATTTCATGATAATCAAAATTTACAATAAAATAGTTTTAACTGTTTTATCTCCATCAGCTATTTCATTTCACAAAACCGTTAGGCTCGTGTAGAATGTGGAATCAGTTCTCTATATTGTTCATCTCCTTGTCGGAGTTCTACCGGACGGGCAGGGTGCAGGCACGGGTTTAACAGAGACGTTCGTGAGTTATTCCGAGCAATGAAGACAGCGCCAGATGATTCAGTTTCTGGTAATATTTATGTTAACCACTATGATCTTCAATCGAAATGCTGATTTTTCTCCTATTGACGAATTTGATGAGCTAACACAACATGCTTTGGCGGATTGCCGCTGTTGGCGCTGCTGGACTTTGTTCTTGTATGCCACAATCGGAACAGATGATAGTAAGTTCTTCAGCTCTTCGAATGGCTATCAAGAAATTAATGTACGGAAATAGTTTTTAAACTCGAATTTAGTGCTGTCGCTTCTTTTCTTTTTGAATTTACACTAAAGCATATGAAAACAAAAGTAGTAAAGGGAAGGAATGTTTTCTTTAGAACATATTCTGTGGAGATCTTTATATGATCTAATATTCCAATATTCTACATATCAAAATTTCAAAACCATTCGTGCAACTTTTTTCATATCATACACACAGAATCAATGGATCTAAATTTGTGTTAATCAAGTACAGTTCAGTTGCTATGTGAAATCCAAAACAATTTAAGTGATGAGAGAAATAGATTATTAAAGATCAGCAAAACAAAAGCTACAATCGATTCAATCTAATGTCAGTGGAAGATTCATTTACAAACATCACAAATCTAAAAGCACATTTATCATATTCTAATGGATAATCCCCAAAACTTAAAAGTAATAACTGTAATCTAAAGCTTTAGAAGTTGTATTTACATGACAGAAAGAATGATCAGAAAACGAGGAGAAGAAGATGATGAAGAACGAGATGGGTTTAGAAATCAAAGCCATCACCAAAACCAGCATCATATCCAGCATCATAAGCCATCGAATCACCCACATCTGAGATCATGTCGCCGATTAGCAAACCTCCGAGCAGACCAGCTCCGGCTCCCAAAGCCATACCGCCCATACCGCTCCTCTGCGGCCTCTGTGGCTTATACGGCGCATATCCATACCCCTGCTGCGGCGGAGGGTAACCGCCGTAGCCATATCCAGCCTGTGGAGGCGGTGGATATCCGTATCCTTGCTGCGGAGGCGGATATGCATAAGCGGTTCCCGCAGGAGGCGGATGTGCACCTCCGGCCGCATATCCGGAACTAGATCCAGGATAACCTAGGGGATAAGCTGTAACCGGCTCACCGGACTTCATAACCGACGGTGGCGGTGGCGGTGGCGGTGGAGGTGCCTGAACCGTGTATTTTTCCCCAAATTTGTACGAAAATTCGACGGTACCTTTTTCCTTTCCGCTCAACGTCCTGACGCTGAAAGTTAGGGTTCTCTCGGATTTTCCTTCATCTCCTTTAGCACTTTCATCGAGCAATCGCTTGATCGGAACAATAACCTTCCCGATCTTCCTATCGCCTAAGCTCCGACTGGAAACGAATTTGATCTTAAGATTGAGACGATTGCTCTGTGCGGCAGCCTCATCGATCGTGAACTTCATCGGAAAATTCCAGTAAGGATCTGAGCCACTATCTTTAGCCACCGGAGTCCTCTGCTTCGACTTCCCACGGGGATCACCGGAGATCGAAACGACGGCGTATACATCCATGGTGGAGAAGAGATTGACGTTCTTGAGGCCGTAGGCCCTCTTGATGTTGATATCTAAAGTTCTACACTCCATGAACGAAGAATCAGAAGAAGAAAAATTCAATGGATTGAAAAGGAAAAATGAACAACAAATCTCAAAATTCAGAGAGACTTTCGAAACTTGCAGATAACTATGAGCGTCGTAAACGAAGGGATCGGTTATATATAGTGCGGTAATGAAATTAAAAAAAAAAAAAAAAAAAAAAGAAGTTTCCAGGGGAAGTGGGATTAATTAATTAATTAATTAAAAGAAACCGACTATGAACAGAAAAAAAAATAATTGTGAATTTTTACACGCGTTTATTATGGGATTCCAAATACCCTTTTTCTATAATACGCGTTTCATCCGTTATCGAAGAAAAAAAAAAAAAACTCTTTTAATGATCTGTTGGGTCAACCCGAAATTTTTGATTGGTTAGGTAGTGACGTAAATTCTATTTTTAGGTTATTTTTATCTTTAAATTATTTATAAAAAAAACCCTATTCTTGTGGTACGAAAAGAAAATAGAGAAGGATCAATGTACACTGTGAGAAAGTCCAAAAGGAAAGTCACAAGATCATACCATTGTGGAGAGTCATATTCATGTAGCCATGCCAATGGAAGGCTGAAGAGAGGTGGGAAAGTGTTGGATAAAAAGAAAAGTCCATGTCAGCTAATTTAGTAATATCATATCATTGAGGAGAGTCGTGTTCATCTCATAATTATATATAATATATAATTGAATATAAAATTTTTAAATTAATTAGTAAAAAAAACATTAAATTTAAAGATTATAAAAGAAAATATGAAAGAGTTAAATTATATATTAAAATAATAAAACAAAATAATAGAATAAATCATTTTTGTTTAAAACCGCTATGAAAGTGGCGTCCAAAGCGCGTGGAGAGCGTGCGTGAGACATGACGTGGAAGTTTAAAGGATGAAATGGGCGTAATAACTCCAAAAGTCTAGAATTCACTAGATACACCCAAGTTTACTTATTTTTTCACTACCAAAATATTTTTATTTTTCTTTTATTATAATAATCTCTAATAAAATTTTAATGGGTTCGTTCGTTTAAGAATATATATATAACCATTTTAGAGAACGGACTAGTCTATGGGTCGACCTATGCTTGGATCGACCTATGCTTGAATCGACCTATTGAACTAACCCAATAAACTTATTATTGATCCGACTCAAATGGGTTTGAAATGAACTTTAGATAATATTTATAAAATGGAATGTTTTCTTGACTTAATTTATTGAAGAAGTTTAATTTTTTTTTTCTATTTGAAGGGTACCATCTGTTGGATGAAAGTGTCCCACATTGGTTAATTTAGGGAATGAATTTATTTTAATCGTATTTTAAATAAATAAAAAAAAGAAGCTTTAAATAGATTATTTTTTTCTTTTTTCTTTTGGTTTTACTACATATTTGGAAGATTATCCATTAATCAAATTTGAATTAATTTTTGTATTTCTAAACTCTATTAAAAATAAGTCTTAAACTAATTAGTAGTTTTTTTTAGATAAAACAATGCTTTTAATAATTTAAATTATCCTAAAAATACAATAAATAATTAATTTTTCTATAAAAGAGATTAAACTGAAAATTAACATAAAATTTATACATTCAACTTTTTGAGGGAAAAAGCATATCACACTCATTGTATTCAAATTTGATATAGACCAAAAGAATGACCTATTTTTTATTTCAAGAAATTGATTCCACAAAACATACATATATATATATATATATATATATGAGAACAAATGGAAGTATATAGAGAGAGAGAGGGAGAGAGAGAGGGGGAGAGAGAGAATATATATATAGAGAGAGAGAGGGAGAATATATATATATGAGAACAAATGAAAGTATATATGTAGGGAGATAATATATAGAGAGAGAGAGGGAGAGATATAATATATAGAGAGAGAGAGAGGGGGAGAGAATCTATAAAGAGGGAGAATATATATAGAGAGAGAGAGGGAGAGGGAGAGAGAATCTATATAGAGGGAGAATATATATATAGAGAGAGAGAGGGGGGGGGGANGAGGGGGGGGGGAGAGAATCTATAAAGAGGGAGAATATATATATATAGAGAGAGAGAGAGGGAGAGAGAATCTATATAGAGGGAGAATATATATATATATATAGAGAGAGAGAGAGAGGGAGAATATATATATATATAGAGAGAGAGAGAGAGAGAGCAGCCAATCTTTAATCAGAGTATTTGGGGATTTGCGGACCAATCAATCCTCAATCAACAATGTACAATTGAGAAATTTTGAAGCCAAGAAAAAAAAAAAAAAAGAAAGATGCAATTAAGCAATGAGCAATACAGTATGAATATCTGTATCAGTACATTATGTATGTATGCATGCCATCACAAACATCAAATCCCATCCATCTTTCAACAATTGAAGCCCATCCAATCCCAAACCTCGCCCTCCTCTCCTTCTCTTCCATTCTCATACAGCTTAACAAACACACCCCATTCCGATTCAATTTGGACCAAGTTATGCATTCAGCCTCGACCTCACTCGAACGAGTTCCAATCGAAACCGAAAACCACACCCGTTTTCTCCTTTTATTTCCCATGGGGTTGTGTGAATTTTTGACAAACGTTGTGCAGATCTCTTTTTCTTCTCTTTCTTTTCTCATCATAGAGGGTGGTAAGGCGTGTAGCCTAACAAGCCACTCACATTGGTGACCACATCGCTGCACCTTTTTAAAAGGCTCAGCAGCTGCTGAGAAATGTCAGTGGGCGGCGGTGGTGTCATGGTGGGTGTGCGGTGGTGGCGGTGGTGGTGGTGGTGGTGGCTGAGTGTATTTCTAGGTTGTGGCAATTCCGAGTGCATAATGTTTGTAGTAGTAGTAGTAATGCTACGAGGGGGATTAGTGAATTGGGGAGGAATTAGGAGTGGAGGTGTAGAAACGACCTTTTGAAAGAAGTTACTATTAATATCATCCATTGCAACAGAAGATGTTCCACCATCTGCAAAATTATCATTGATGTTGTTGTTTCTATTACTTTCATCCCCGCCCAACATGAATTTCACTCGCGTCGTTCCTTTGCTGCTGCTGCCTCCCGTGCCGACACTCGGTGTTACACCAGATTCATCACCCGACGACTTCTTTAGGCATGATTTCAGCTGGACTGCTGGGAGTTGTGGAAGGGATGGTTGATGTATTACTGGAGTCGGTGCTCGTCCTGGTAACACCAATGGATCCTTCATCCTAAGGGCTTCGGTAGGATTGTCATCTGCTGCACTGCCCTTCTCGGATTCGGGTGCTTCAGTTGCAGGAGCTCCAACCTCTCTAAGTTGGTACTTCACGTTGACATTCCCAAATAAGGATTTGTTTCCCATTGCATACTTGTATGCTGCTTGAGCGTCTGGTTTGTAAAGGAAAACGACGCGGCATGTTGATGTTTTCCAGAAGATACGGAGCCCCGACTGGTCAATAGGCCCGAACCGACCAAGCCTCGCCTTTAGCTCGTTAGCAGATGGAAGTGATGTTTCGGGAGGAAACTTCATAACAAGCATGGTTGGATCAACTTTTCTCACTGAAGAAGGCTCCAACTTCTTCACAGAATCTCGCTTGACTGTCTTCAATGCTACAGATTCACGTTTCTGGCCATCACCAAGTTTCTGGGTAGCTTTTCTCTCTGATGTCAACGATTTCAAATCACCCATT